AACCTTATTAGCAGTCGGTTTAATGATGTTGTTGGGAGCCAGCCTCTACTTGAACAACACATAAGAAGTATCAGATGAAATTGATACAGCCAATCTTTATACAAATTGGAAGTTGAAATATAACAAGAGATATACAAACCAAAGAGATGAGATGTACAGATACAAGGTTTTCACAGACAACCTTAACTACATCAGAGCTTTCTATGAAAGTCCAGAAGAAACTACATACACTTTGGAATTGAATCAATTTGCTGATATGAGCTAATAAGAATTCGCTTAAACCTATTTGAGTCTCAGAGTTCCAAAGACAGCCAAAATCAATTCTGCCAATGATAACTTCTAATACAAGGGTGCAGAAGTCGATTGGACCACTGATAAAAAGATTAAATATCCTGCTGTCAAGAACTAAGGATCATGTGGTTCATGTTGGGCATTCTCTGCAGTTGGTACACTTGAAATCAACGCTGATATTGAACTCAACAAGAGATTTGACTTATCTGAATAAGATTTAGTTGACTGCTCAGGACCATATGACAATTAAGGATGTAATGGTGGTTGGATGGATTCTGCTTATGAATATGTTGCTGACCATGGTTTGGCTGAAGCTAAAGATTATCCATACACTGCTAAGGATGGAGTCTGCAAGACCTCAGTTAAAAGATAATTCACCTATGTTACAGGATTCTATGATATTGACTCATGCAGTGAATTAGCTGATGCAATCTAAGAAAGAACCATCGCTGTTGCAGTTGATGCCAATCCTTGGTAATTCTACAGTAATTATTTAAATTTAATTTTTTAGGAAGTGGTGTCCTTTCAAAATGTACTAAAAACTTAAATCACGGAGTCGTCCTTGTTGGTGTCTCAGCTGATGGTGTTTGGAAGATCAGAAACTCATGGGGAGCTACTTGGGGAGAAGCTGGTCACATCAGACTTGCAGGAGGTGATACTTGTGGTATTTGTGCTGCTCCATCTTTCCCAGTATTAGAATGAAGACTATGATTATTCATACATCAATTTATCAACAATATTAGTTATTTTACAAACTATTTACTTGGTTTAATAATTACACAGAAAATTAATCAGTTTTTTTAATATTTATTAATGGGTTGCGGATCTGCTAAACCAGTGAATGTCTAAGAAACAGAATATATAAATTCATCCAAAAATCATTCAAGAACTAGTTCAATTTCAGAAGGTTAAACTGAAACTACCAAGTTATACAGAAGAGGTTATTGTATTACAATAAACAAATAGCAAACTATCTCATTAAGAATGAGAGATATGAATAGGCTATGCAGCTATTAGATCGAGTATTAGAAAATGATCCAGATTTTGCTGATGCTATATACTGTAAGGGTATATAATTGAAGTTATTTTCTTAATAGGAATAGTTGAACTGAATTAAAACAATTTAGAAGATGCTAAAAAATATTTTCAAATTTCTCTTGAAAAATAACCTAATCATGCTCTTGCTCTAAATGAATTAGGTATCTCTCTAACATTTTATTATTCAGCTAGTTTAATGATCAAAGAAAAATAGTACAAAGAAGCCTTAGAATATTTAGAAAAAGGATTTTAGGTTAATCCCAACATACCAGACTTAAATTACGGTTTAGGTACATTTTAATCATATTCCAAGGCTATGTTTTAGCAAGATTAAAAAGAAAGAGTGAGGCAATCAAATATTTTGATATGGCGATAAATTAAGACCCAAATCAAAAACATTATTATGTTAGTAAAGCAACTACTTTATCTGATTTAAAATAATATGATAATGCTTTGGAAGCAATATAATTTGCTCTCAAAATTGATTCTCAATATCTTGATGGATATTAAGTATTAGGTAAATATTAATCATTTACATTAATAAGTATATATATATCGCTAATCAAAACAATATGAAAAAATGGAAAAAGCCTGTGAATAAGTTCTTAAATTAGATAGTTAAAACTAATATGCATTAAATTGCTAATAAGAAATCCCAAAGAAAATATCTTAATAATAACCACAGGTCTCATAGGTGTAAATTTCTGTAGAAGATTAATTGAAAGAAGGTTTAATCAAATTCTTAGATTATAGTGCGGAAGTTGCAAGTAGAATAACAGTACACTTAAGCTTTGAGTCTCTTAAATTTAATTTTGGAAAAAGATCCTAACCATTTATAAGCCTTAAAATTAAAAGCTTAAATATAAATTGAATTAAAATAATAAGCAAGTTGTTTGGTAACACTGGATTAAATTCTTACCATTTAATAGAATGATTTAGATACATTAAAATAAAAGGGTATAAAAATTGATCATTTTGAATATAGTGACAATCTTAGAATATCTGAACAAAAATGAAGAAGTTTTGAAATGTTATGAATTAATCATAGTTTAAGATACAAGCTTTGAATTATTAGAAAAGAAAGGTTAGTGTAAAAAATATTTATATAGCTTCTACTTTAATAAAGCTTGATAGGATTTAAGAAGCATCAAACATTTATGAATAATTATCATCATAATCAAGCAAGGATGATTCAAAAATATTTATTATTAGAGGTATTACAAAATTTGTATATATAGGGAGGTTACTATAAGCACAAAAAAAATATGATGATGCTATCATTTGTTTGAATGATGGATTAAATAAATTCCCTTAAAACTTAGAAATCTTAAATTTGTTAGTATAAATGTATAAAGATACAAAATAAGAATAAAAAGCACTTGAAATATACGATAAACTATTGAACATTGAACCAACTAATGAATAATACTTATATGAAAAAGGTTTAAGTTATAATAATTATTAGGTTCTATATTGTTTAATTTAAATAATTTTAATGAATCATTTGATATATTGAAATAGTTAAAAAAAAATGAATATGCCTAAAATATCAATTATTACCTTGGTATTTGTTGCAATGAAAAGAAAGAATACATGGACGCTTTAAAATACTTAAGTTTATATATCAAAACTGGTAAGGAAAATCTCGAATAAGTCTATTTCATTGTAATAAATTGATTAATATATATATAGATGGGCAGTGCTAATCTATTTTTAATGAAATTTGATGAAGCAATTGATAGTTATTAAAATTGCATTAATTTAAACCCTAATAATTCTGAAGCTTATTTTTAACTTGGAAATGTATACAAATAAGATAAACTAATGGAAGAAGCACAAAAATCTTTTGAATAAGCAGTTAAGATTGATCCTTAAAATAATTTGTATAAATAAGCATTAGGTATTTATATATTTATATTTATTTAGATAATATAATAAATGAAAAATCATATTTATAAGAATATAGAAATAGTCTACTTTTTACAATGATTACATTTATTGGATCTTGTTAATTGGATCCAAAATCCTAAGATTTTGAGAAAAAGCAAAATGAAAAATATTTAACTTTATTAACTTTAATGGAAGCCCATTTAAAAAAAAGATTTAACACTATAGATAAACATTTTGAATAATTAAAAGAATTGATTGGTAAATCATATGATATGAAATTAACTTTAATTGATGATACTTTGTTCCCTATTATGTAATTTTGGCATAATCAAAAAATCTGTAAAAAAAAGAAAGATAATAATGATTTAGTAGTTTCTATGATAAATGCTGCTAAATCTATGATTAATTCAAATAATGAAAAGATATTAAGATACATTTAAAATGAAAAATCTTTAAATAATCAATTTTGTATTGAATTTTTATAAAAATGTTAACATGAATCATATTAAAAGATAAGTGGAAAAATAGGATTATAAGATGGAATTAAAATACTTGGTTTTTTAATTAAATATCACAAAGAATTCAATTCTGATATAAAAAGTTTCGCTGAATTCATTACAAATAAATACTTAATTGATGAAATATAAAATTTTCATGATTCATATTACCATTAAAATGTTTGATTAAATGATTTTATTTGATTAAATTTGGATAAATTATAAAAATGTATATATTAATATAATTATTAACTGTAATATTAATTTATTCAAATTTTCTAAATGCAATACATCGATGAAAATGAAATGGGATAAAAAAGTAGAGTCCCTCGTCTAAGTATGGGGGAGAGATGTTTTGGAAAGGATTTATCTAATTTTAGATAAAGTAAATCATAATCTTAAACTCAAAGAATAAAATTTGATGAATTAGATTAAATTGACAATAAGAATAATAATAATCCCTAATTAGTGTCTGTTTATGCTAAAGATATCTTTAAATATTGTAGAAGCAAGGACAAAGCACTTGATCATACTTATATTGATAAACAAATAGAAATCAATTATAAAATGAGATCAATATTAATAGATTGGTTAGTAGATGTACATTACAGATTTAATTTGGTTTCAGATACATTATATTTAACCATTTATATTATTGATGCATATCTATAGTCAATTTAAATATCAAGAAATAAATTTCAATTACTTGGAGTATCTGCTCTATTCATAGCTTCTAAATATTGTGAAATATACCCTCCAAAATTAAATTATTATTCAGATGTTACAGATAAAACATATACAAAAGAAGAAATTTTAGAAATGGAGGGTAAAATATTAATGTAATTGCAATTTGAAATATGTTTTACAAATCAACATTAATTCTATGAGAGATATTAATAATTAATATAATTAGATTAAAAATCATATTAATTAGGAAAATACATTCTCGAATTAATGTTATTAGATCATAAATTTATTTAATATAATCCAAGTTTACAAGCAGCCAGTGTACTATATTTAGTATAAAAGATTTATAAAAAGTATAGAAATCAAATATATTAAATAGATCTTAGAATTGTTGGCCTACCTATTTAGAAATACATTCACAATATACTGAAAATTAAATAAGGCCAGTGGCAAAGGAAATTTGTTAATAATTGTGTCAAGCAAAAATTATGTCATTATAAGCAATACAAAGAAAATATAGTTCACCAAAATTTCAAGAAGTCTCTAATATTTAAATTCAATATAAATGAATATAATTATTAAACTAACAATTTAGTTTCATTTACGTTCGAGATAATGCTCATTTTTTTTTAAGTATTAGTAAATTGATTCTTCATCTTATAATTCAAGTGCAATTAAATACTCTTCATAAGAAAAGTTTTATTTATCACATGTTAATATAGGTAATTCACATATTATCAGTGAAGCTTAAGCTTAGATTTCTAATTTTAGCCATTCTATATTTGATTTTACTATTCCCTTTCTATCTTTAATATTCTTGTATATCTACCCATGAAAATATGTATTACAAACATCCTTTATTTTATCATTCAAATCATCATTTAAAAACCATTCAACTTTCTCTCTCCTAGTTTTATCTAATTTTTCTGCTTTTGCTTTTGCTGAATTTAATAATAAACTTAATTCACTTTAAACAAGTTAATTATCTTACTTAACTTTATTAAGATAATTTTCATATTCTTAACTTTATATAATCTCTTCCCAATCATCAAAATTAAAAGAATTAACTTTTTACTATAATAAATTTTCAATCTACTTTCTTAATTATAACATTCGCTTAAAAACCAAAAATAGAGGAATAACCCAAAAATTCTATAATCCATTAAAAAATGTTAAACATTTTGCAACTGTCTAACCAATTATATTGATAGCTTCTAAAGATCTATTGTATTTTTGTGAAAATAGGTGTATTTATGAATTATTTCGTTTAATTAATTGAATATAATTATCTGCATTACTTATATTATTAACACTAAGTTATTGTTATGAGTATTATTATAATTAAGATTTTGTTTATTAAATAGATAATATTTATTAATGTTATTATTATTAATCTAAATCACAATATTTAATAATTTATTATTATTATTATTATTATTATTATTATTATTATTATTATTATTATTATTATTATTATTATTATTATTAATCATTTATTAATTCATCTTATTATTAATAAATTTATTACACTTCTTCTTAATTTTTTGATAACTTTTTTTAAATGTTTTATTATTTATTTGGTTTTTCTTATAAAATAGAATGCGTAGAACTATTTCTTGGCTTTTATTATAATTTAATTGTATCCCCTTTTATTGATGAAACCCTAGATCTTATTTTCTCATAAAAACAATCCTATTTTTAAGGAACTTAATTGCTATTTTCTTATATAAATTCTCCAGATTTACGATTAGAATCTGATCCTACATTTAAAGTGCTGTTTTAAGTTTAATTTCTAAAAGTTCTGTATCCTAAATTCTATTATTTTATTTAGGATTTAGGTAATATTTTAGTAGAATTTAAGAAATTATTAAATCTACTTGTACTAGTATTTGTTTAAAGTATTTATCTACTCTATTATGATGTGGATGCATGTCTATTTTAAACAGATGAATAAGAATTCCCTAAAGCATTACGTACTTTGTCTTGATGTATTTTAAATAAATTGCTAACCTTTGTTATTAGTGATTGATTAAGTATATTTTAATCACAAGTTTTTGGATTCTTTAATCCATAAGGACAAGGCATAATACTAATTTAATTACTATTTTCATCTCTATTACTCATTCTTGATGAAGATCGACCTTTTATTTCAGTTCTATTGGATTTTATTAAGAAATCTTTGAGAATTTATTTACATAAATTATCTTCTCTAAAGGCTGGATGATTTGGGATTTAATTCCAAGGTATTGGATTCTCTGGATCTAAAAGAGAAGATATTAAATTTTGGACTGATTACTTTTTATTAGTTATCATGGATCCTATATCTAATCTTCCTCCTTTCAACCATTCATTTATATGCTTTTATACTTCATTAAGAATGTAAGTCCCTTATGTCATTACTAAATACATGATTCCTAAAGACCATTAATAAGAGGATCTATAAGGTTTACCCTTTAGTATAAGAGGATTCCAATAGACACAATACTTTTCTGTACGTTTTCTCAAACCAAAATCTAGAATAACTATTGAATCATCATTTTTAATTATATTCTCAAGAGTACAATCACGTGGAGAACATCCAGTATAAAGATCATATCCAAAATAAATTAATAATAATTTTGAGAGATCTCCACTTGTTAAAAACCATTAAGTCACATTCTCAATTAAGACATCTGTGTATGTATTAGTTCTAACTATCTATAATATAGAAGGAAGTAAACCAATTTGAGGTTTGAGCATCTTACTTTCCTTTTATGGTTTAATACGATGTTGAGAATCAAAAAAAGCCAATTCTTCATCTAAATACATAGTATTATTCCACCTTGCTATAATAACTTATTCATCAGATAGCTTCAGCCGTCCTCTTAATGCAGTCCATTGATCACATTACCATATAGGAAATGTTATAGTATAAGGATGATTGGACCTCATTAATTATTTATATTATAAATATTTCTATGTGAATGTTAATTAATTATTTTTAATAAATATGTAAACATGTAAAGTAAGACATATATTTCCTATAATCTAATTTTTTAGAGTATAATATTTAGTAAATATCAGTTTCAATATTTAATAAATTATGAATCTAATTAAAGTAAATAGAAAATAATTATTCTATCATAAAATTTATTTGATATTTATTTTCAATATATATAATTATTATTTTCCTATTTATATAGATAACATCCTTAAATATTAGATTTTAATTATGTTTATCAATTTAAAATGAATAGAATTATAATTTGTTAGATTTATTATATATTAAATTTATAATTACTAAATGTTATTAATATTAAATAAAGAATGTTATAATGATTTAACAATTGATTTCTTAATAATATGAATTATATAATGTTATTATTTGTTAATAATTAAGTAATTTTTAATTATAAGAGTATTATATCAAGATATAAAATATATATAAAAAATAATAATCATTAATACTTAGTTATCATTTGAGCATCCACAATTTCTTATTTAGGATTACATTTTAAAAGTATTACAAACAATTAATTAGTATCAGCTTCTGGTATCATCAAAGCACAAGGACCACTATTATTGTTTATACCTTAAAATCCATAAAAACCTTTTTTCATAAATTAGAATTATCTATTTTTCCATGTGTATACAGTTGATAGATCTCCATTTTCAAATGTTGCTCTACAGGTGTAACTCTTAGTTTTTAAGATTCTTTTAAATATATCAAATTTCAATAATTAATCACAAAGTAGACACATATCATTTGCAGTTGTTACATTATTTGGATCAGCGAGACCTTCTAAATTTGTATATCTAGTATTATTCATCTTTAATTATTATGCATTTCGATTAAATAAGTCAAGAAATTTGTTTTTTATTAGATTTCTTTATGTAATTCCATATAATTTTTCACTTAATCCACTAATTATACTCCATAAAGCATCATTACCACTTCTAAGAATAAGTGCATACAAAAGTTATTCTAGAGTCAAATAATTAAAAGAATTTAAATCTGCTTTAGGTTCTGGTACACTTTCTGCATAATAAGGTACTAAAAATTTCATTTTATAGTCCTAACATATTTATAATATAGTATAAATTGCCATCAATTTAGTTAAGCATCCAACTTCACATTTGGTATTTTCGTTGACACCATAAAATTTTGAGTTACTTTGATAAGCACACCATCTTCTAGCTGACACTCTTAATGTTAAAAATTTTGGAGGTGTATTCTCTTTAACTTATGTAAGGATTCTTGTAGATTTTCTGGTTATAGGCCTTTAAATTACTTAAGAATAAGAACGAATTCTATCTTTCTGACTCCATTTGTTTGAATTTAAAATGTTGATTTTCTTATTAGAACATGTGCATTAAGAGAATTGCATTAATATAGGTTACTCATCTGGAATATATGTAATACCATTAACTCCACAGATTGTAGGGATTATCTCACAAATTCGATATTATTACTATTTGCTTTTATTGAAGATTGAATAGTTCTTTACTTTCATAAAAAATAAAATATTATTCTTATACATAAATATCATAGTTTAAAATTACTGGAAACTACAATTAATATATGTAGATTTTTTTATTTTTTACAGAGAATATAGATGATTTAAGTGAAATCATGATGAATAAAAAGAACTGTATATAAAGTTGTTAAGTATTAAACAAAATATATTTACAGTAGATATGTATAAATAATTATTCGTTGATTTATTAATTATTTATTAGATTTTCTTGTTGTTTTCATTTAAATCATCAAATAATAATCAGCAAATAATTAATTATAATTTATTTCAATCTAATAATAATAATATCACAATATTTCTAATTGGTAATAAGAAATCTAAAATGAATAGATTTGTAGTCACCCATTAATCCTTTATATTAAATTTTACAGACTAAAATAATAATGATTAATAAATACTGTTGAAACTAATGAAGTATCCCATAAAACAAATATGAAAATTATACTAATTATTATGATAAAAATGTATTAAAGTTAACATATCTATAACAGAAAATAAACTAATATTGCTATTAAAACATAAAAAACAGTATAATTTTTATTTAAGACAATATGCTGTCTTAATAAGTTTTAGTAAACATCTTCTACTTAGAATGGTTAAAGTAACTTGTCTAATATGATTCTAATTAACATCTTATTCTCTTTAATGTATTTATTATCCTAAAGTATAAATTTAATTTACCTTAAATAAATTAGAATCTATATGGATAAAATAAGTTAGTATATAAACTGTGGCTAATATATAAAAAGTCCAATTATTAGAAGTTTATGACATCTTATTATATATAACATTAATGATAAATGCCAAAAATGTTAAGTATGTTATTTTTTCATTTTATTTATTTTGAATAGTAGAAATAGAGTTATTTATCATAAAGAAAACAATATTCGCCAAATATATCCAAAAAACAAGTTATATATATTCTAAATAATATTCTATTATAATATCTTTACTTCATACCAAAATAATTTCTTATGTATATTAAAATTATCTGCGTAAACAAAAATAAACATGGATATAAAATAATAGTAAATAGAAATGCTATTTTCCTCTAAATATTTTATAATAAAAATTTACTAAAAAAATTATGCTTCTAATAGATTATTGGAATATTAAAAATAAAGGATAAGCTATTAAAGATAATAAATGAAATTAATTAGGCCAATAATTCCAAATTTAATATATTTCGTTCCTTTATTTTCCTTAATCAATTTTTTTTTGACAATACTCTGTATTCTAACAATATTCTTAAAATTAAGCGCTATTACTCTCAGCTCCCAAAGTTTTATCAAAAAACCATTCATCCATCTATACATAATAGGAAACAAGTATTATTATTGCTTAAATCAAAAGTAGAAAATAGAATAGAAACATATTTTTCTTCTAGACATTATCATTATTTTGAGGTTTCTTCTAAGGTTATTTTTCATCCTCGTCATTCGGGATTTACCTTTTTGTTGATATTGAGCCTTCTTAACATTAATATTAAGGTTTATGAGACATAGGAAATAAAATTAATATTTATATTATATGATTTTTTTTTCAATACTTTATTAATTAATTATTATATTAATAATCTTAATCTTAGTTTATGAGTATATCCTCACTTATAATTTACAATAAAATATAAAAAATTAATAAGTTTATTAATTCTATCAATCTAATAATAAAAACATCACAATATTTCTAAAAGGCAATAATAAATCTAAAATAAATAGATCAGCTGCTAACCATTAATCTTTCAATTCAAATTTTGAAGACTAAAATAATAATAATCAATTATACTGTTGATACTAATGAAGTATCCAATGATATAAATAAAATAAATTGTATGATTATTGCTGTTATGATAATTAGGACATTTATTGATTTTAATGTTTCAGTGAAATATATAATAAAGGGTAGTATAATAAATATTAGCAAGGCTTTATCTTTCTTTATAACAAAAAATTGATTAATTTGTTCTTCTCTATTAAAAAATGGTATTCTTTCAAAAAGTATATTAATTAATGGTTTCTATTGTTCATTATATTTATTATTCTAATGTAAATGATATAAAATATATACTTAAAATAAATTGGAATCTATATGGATAAAATACATTTAAATATATGCATTAATAATTAAATATGGTATCCAATTATGATTATTGACAGTGATTATATTATACAATAAATGAATAACTAATAATAAAAATAGGATATATAAAGCTTTTCTTTTATTTTAAATTTTTATTCTTAAAAATTGTTAGTTAATGATAACAAAAGTAAGATTTAAAATAAACAATGCAAAACAAATATTAATAGACATTATTAATTCAGCTATGATAAATATTATATATTATTTACGATAATATTGTTTTATTATTAATGAGACTTGATAGATAAAAACTTCTAAAAAAGGGTATTAAATCCAATAAAATAAAAATGCTATTTTTCTCTTATAAATATAAAATGAAAATTACTAAAAAATTTTTTTCTTTATTCAATTATTTTAACATTAACATTAAAGGATAAATGAATATATAGCAATAATTTTATCCTTAAAAAATTGTCTTATATATATCTGATATAATATTAATGGTAACATCTTGATTATTTTCATCATCTTAAAATAATTTATATTTAAACAATTACTTTTAATAGTCTAATTGAAATTTTCTAAAGTTGTGAGATTAAATCTAATAATGATTACTATAGCTTAAATTAAAATAAGCCAATAGAAATAAGTGTTCATTATAAAATAAATTAATATATTAATTTTATAAAATAGTATATGATTTTAATAATAAGTTTATATTATCTAATTGTATGAATCTATTTTATATTTTATATTCATTTAATAAGTACTTCATCAAAATAATTTTACTTTCTTTAATTTTCCACTCTTTTAAATTTATTCTCTAATTTCTTCTATATCTTATGGTTAATTTTTTTAAATTTATTATTCACCATGATCATATTATTATTAGTCTTCTTCTTCTCCATCTTAATTTTATTATTATTATTTCTTTAATTATTATTTTTTCTTTTTCTCCTCTAATTTTTTTTATTATCTTTATTTTTCATTCAAAAAATATTCTCCTGATGCCATTAATAAATCTTCTTTTCTTGGTTATTATTCAGGTGGGAATGGTGTATATTCTTAAATATTAATAATTATAATTTACCTTTCTTTTTTTTAATAACCTTCTTTTTTTTTTAATTTTATTTCTTAAAATGAGGTAAGAATCGATCCCAATTTTCATTTTACATATTTTCATCTTTAGATAATTCTCTCTTAATCATAAGTTCTTTAATACTATAAATTGGATGTACATTTTACATAGTATCAACTACAACTTTTCGAACAGTCTAATATATAATATAATAAAATAACTTTTAAATTCTTCCAATTTCCAATCACAGAAACAGTACTACCTTAAACCATTATATAACAATCTGTTAATAATTCTAATGCTTTCAATGTTGCTCCATTTGGTCCAATTAATCTTTATCTTCTTTTAACAAATTTCTCTTTATTTCTTGTATAGCTTCTAATTTTTATTATATCACAAAATGTTCCATCTTCTAATAATCTTAAACATTATTAAACAGGAACACTTCTAGCCAATAATTTAATAATATCTCTAGCTTTCATAATTGCCCATGGATCCCATGTTTTATTTGTTGTTTTTACTGTTAATGATCCTTCCATTAAATTTAATTCAGCTCTTATTCCATGATCCTTTAATGATTTTTTAACCATTCCAAACACTTCTTAAATATATTTCTCTCTATATTTTGGAAATAAAGTAGCAAATGAACTTTCAGCTAAAAGACTTCCATTCATTTCACCAGGTTGAATTTCTGGTATCTTCCATTTATCTATTGTTGGATCATTATCCCATGGTTTATCCTTTCTATATTTTTTATGATTTTTAACAACTTCTTATTATTCAGACATTCCAATAACACGAATTAAAATTATACTTTATTAATATTTAATTATTAATTATATATAAATTAATAAAATCCAATTCCATTTTATATTTTATAATCTCTAAACCAATTCAATCATAAAAATGAATAATATTTATAAATAATTTATATGTAAAAAAAATATATCAATTCAAATTTAAACTAATTATTTTATTATAAAATAATATGATTATCTTATGTAATTAAAAATTATGTATCTAAATGTATATTTTTAAAGAGATAAATAAACTTTAAAATGATGGTTTATCTGTGATAGAATTAAAATATTTAATGCAATAAGAATAAAATTCTTAAGCAATAATTATTTTATGGAGTAATAATAAACAGCTTAAGGAGAACCAAATATCGAATAAGACATTAATACTGTATTTGATAATTTAGAATACATAAGAACTAATATTAATTGTGAAATACCATAAATTCCTAAGGAGAGCATAGTACTTATCTTTCTTGGAGAATTTGAATAAAAATTTAAAGTTTTCTTTTCACACTTTTAGATTAAACAAACCATAAAAGATGAGAAATATTTTAAGATAATTAGAATAGAAAAATTAGGAAAAATTAGTTTTTTATTAAATTTTCCTTTGATCTTATAATAGGATGACTAAAATAATGAATAAGCATTGAATTTATGCATTTCAAAAATATATGCAGAGTAAGCATTTCAGAAAATGGAAAATTGCAAAATATAGTTAATTGTAGATGTAAATTAACTAAACGGAGATGATGATAAGGCAAAATTCAATAGCATTATAAATGATTAAGTTTTTTACTTTGGAAAATATTATTTTAAGGAAAATACATTTTTATTTCTTAGGCCATAGAATGAAGACGAATGGAACCTATAGACAATTAAAAAAAATCATTAAAATAAATAAAAAAATGAGAAGGAATATCAGTTTAACTGTGATTCTAAAGTATAAAAAGATTATGAAGTTTTAAAGTCAATCTTCAAAGCTACATCAAATTTTTCTCAACTAAAAGTCAATTCAGATAGTTTTTTGGATTATGGAAAAATGAACACTTATTTAAAAGATTTCTAAGAAATTTTAGCTCCATAATTTGATAATCTATTAAAAAAATTTTAAAAGCAACTTCTTCTTTTATAATAAATGCCAATTATTCAATCTCAAGATGATACTATTAAAAAAGTTGGAAATTATTTCAAAGCATTATAAGTAGATATTATTAATGAAGAGAATCCACTTACAAATAGTTTTGCTGATATTAGTAAAGTTTTTGAATTTATAAATAAAGTTAATAAAGGAAATATAGCAATAGAATTAAATTAAAGAATTTAACAAAAAATAAATAGTAAATTAATGCAATAATTTTTAGAAGATAATAAAATTGAAAAAATAAGTATATAACCTTTTTTTAATGATAATGTCTAAAATAAATTAAATAAAATCATAGATTTTTATAAAATATATCAGATCTTATTGCTATAAACAACTCCAATTGTAGAAGTTTAAAATTTGATAATTAATCTTTAATTTTGGTGCTAATATTGTGAAGAAGCCATAGAAAATATTCTATATGAATTAAATTAAATTGTAAAGAAAATATAAGAAGGACCATAAAATGAAATTGAAAATGGTGTCTATTTTATAGGTGTAACAAAATCAGGGAAATCTACTATTATTAATGCTATTCTTAATCCTGATAAACTTGAAATGACTAAAATTTTAGGTTAAAAATGTTACGAAATTAAGTAAGGATTTCAGACAAAATTTAAAATTGGTTAAGGATAGGTTAGTAAGACTTAATAAATTAATGGAATTTATATTGGAAAAAAGGAGGAACTTGATAATATATTTTATAAGTAAGAAAACAATCAACAGATTAATAANAAAATGGAAAATTGCAAAATATAGTTAATTGTAGATGTAAATTAACTAAACGGAGATGATGATAAGGCAAAATTCAATAGCATTATAAATGATTAAGTTTTTTACTTTGGAAAATATTATTTTAAGGAAAATACATTTTTATTTCTTAGGCCATAGAATGAAGACGAATGGAACCTATAGACAATTAAAAAAAATCATTAAAATAAATAAAAAAATGAGAAGGAATATCAGTTTAACTGTGATTCTAAAGTATAAAAAGATTATGAAGTTTTAAAGTCAATCTTCAAAGCTACATCAAATTTTTCTCAACTAAAAGTCAATTCAGATAGTTTTTTGGATTATGGAAAAATGAACACTTATTTAAAAGATTTCTAAGAAATTTTAGCTCCATAATTTGATAATCTATTAAAAAAATTTTAAAAGCAACTTCTTCTTTTATAATAAATGCCAATTATTCAATCTCAAGATGATACTATTAAAAAAGTTGGAAATTATTTCAAAGCATTATAAGTAGATATTATTAATGAAGAGAATCCACTTACAAATAGTTTTGCTGATATTAGTAAAGTTTTTGAATTTATAAATAAAGTTAATAAAGGAAATATAGCAATAGAATTAAATTAAAGAATTTAACAAAAAATAAATAGTAAATTAATGCAATAATTTTTAGAAGATAATAAAATTGAAAAAATAAGTATATAACCTTTTTTTAATGATAATGTCTAAAATAAATTAAATAAAATCATAGATTTTTATAAAATATATCAGATCTTATTGCTATAAACAACTCCAATTGTAGAAGTTTAAAATTTGATAATTAATCTTTAATTTTGGTGCTAATATTGTGAAGAAGCCATAGAAAATATTCTATATGAATTAAATTAAATTGTAAAGAAAATATAAGAAGGACCATAAAATGAAATTGAAAATGGTGTCTATTTTATAGGTGTAACAAAATCAGGGAAATCTACTATTATTAATGCTATTCTTAATCCTGATAAACTTGAAATGACTAAAATTTTAGGTTAAAAATGTTACGAAATTAAGTAAGGATTTCAGACAAAATTTAAAATTGGTTAAGGATAGGTTAGTAAGACTTAATAAATTAATGGAATTTATATTGGAAAAAAGGAGGAACTTGATAATATATTTTATAAGTAAGAAAACAATCAACAGATTAATAATTAAAATGAATAAGACGTTTTTAGTTATGAAGAAATATTAAATAAAGAATAAATTAATTAATTAAAAATTCCAGAAAAATGGTTTATTTTTGATTGCCCAGGGTTTGATGATAATTCTAATGAATAAATGAGAATTGCTCATAGAATAAGTTTGTTTAATTATTTCAAAAAAACTAAAAATATTGTTGTTTTTTTTATAATTGATATTTCAGTATAGCAAGTTGAAAATATTAAAAATACCTTTGATCCAATAGGTTGCCTTTTAAATAATAAAAATGATTTATAACAAAATTTTCAGAGTTGGACTAATCTCATTTTAACTAAAGTCAAAAAGGATTAAAGAAAAGAGTATATAAAAGATTGGAAATTAGCTTATAATGAGTAATTAGAATAAAATTATAGTTTCTATAAATAATTATTTGCTGACGATGAAAGATGTATAGAATTCTTGAGACCTTAAATGAATATGGATTTAAATGAATTAAGAAACTCAATTATTGAAAAAGCAAAGAGTTAACTTTAATAAGAAAAAAAATATAACCCATCTTTTGAGTTTACACTTGATGAAAAAGTTTGGAGGTTATATGAAAAATGTATGCCTAAAATTTAGATGAAATTAGAATAATTACTTCAATTATTTTTTTAAGATTTAGAATCATACATTGTGTAAAGTGATGAAACAATAAAGGAGAAAAAGGAATAATTATAAAAATTTTTAGATTGTTTACATAATTAATAAACGAATATAATAATTAGTGAAATTAATGTTAATAATTGTATATCTCTACTTTAAAAATTATCATAATGGATTAAAGGTAATAAATATACATAAAAAATTTGTTTTTTTCTTGAAGCATATATTTAAGATATATAGGCTATTTTAAAAATATCAGAATATTACAATAATAAAAAAATAGTACCATTTAAAATTAAAATAGATATATAAGTTACAAAGATTAAGAATATTCTTAAAATAATTGAAGAGATAGAAAAATAATATCAAAATTGTTAATCAAAATTTTATTGTGTCATTGTAATGATATTTATACCTCTAGTAGGGTTTGGTTCTATAAAATGCACAAAATCTATTGCATAACATGTTAGGGATAAAAATTAACCGATAGCAAAAGTGATTAAATATATACTTAAGTAATAATTTGCTTAAATTATTACTGCTGCAGCGATAAAATAATACTTTATTTATAAATTACCTACATTAGCTTAAAATTTATTTCCAGAAGAAGAGTAAAATCATTAATTGAAAGAAAAATCTAAGTAATATTTATAAAACGAATAATAAGATTAATGATAAAAAATGGAAAATTAAAGAAAACAAATAAAAATAGAGAAATGACATTTTAATTTATTTAATTGTCTTTCAGATATTTTAATTTATCATATTTTTTGTAAAAATTTATTTAATTTATTTTCTATTTTAAATATAAAATGAGATGTTTATGAAAATGTTATATCATTTATAACTATCTTTAATTCTAAATATAAAAATTAATACTAAAACAACAAATATATAATATGTATTTTTTGTAAATATGAGATTTAATATTAATATTATGTACTTATTAGTTATATTTTATGAAAATATATTAATAAATGAATCAATATCAAGTAGAGATGCTATGATTTTTAAATGACATCATATATTTCAATATATAATTAAGTAGTTAATCTTGGATTATATTTAATATAAATTTGTATTTATCTAACATAAAGACGAACTATGATTAGAAACAATGAAATATTAACAAAGAATGATAGACAAAATTCTCATCTAGATTCATACAGAGCAAAGTTTCAAATTGCTGGATAAACCATTCTTAACGGTGATTCTTCTTTTACTTAAGAACCTACTAATAGAAATATCTATGAAAGTAATTCTTTAAATTAAATTTCATAGCTGAAAAAACTAATCATTAGAGCATTCTTTAATAAATAGGATATTCAGTTTCTTAAGAATTGAATTAATAAGAATATTAAAAAAAAACAAAGGCAAGTCCTGTTTCAACAGATTTTTAATCTGCTCTAAAAGTATCAATAAAAGATTCTTAATAAATTTCAATTGTTCCAAGAGGATAGAGTATAGAATTTTTCAATAATAATGATTAATTCATAACTACATCTGAAAGTCCATATAACCCTTAGAATATAAGAAAAACATTTCAATATTGTGATGGGTCTTATGAATATATAAATGATAATATTCAAAGTGGTAGTAGTGATTATACACCAAAACCAATAAAAAGTATGAGTTTGTCAAATAAGACAATTTCAACAAATGATATTCCAACAATGATTAGGGTAAAATTTAAAAGAATAAGAAAATGCTTTTAGATAATTAAAGCACTTTTTAGAATGAAGACATTATGCAAGTAAATATATTATTTAAATAATAGTTAAAAATAATCATCTTGGAATTTGTAAATAGATATTTTAAAAAGAAATTAGAAGATTTTAAAATATAATGAAAGTATTACAATAATAAAAATAAAATAATGGACTTAAATGGTATTTTCTAAGATGATTTCAATAATTCAGTAGAAAAATTTAGAAAAACAAAAATTGAATTTTATTGTAAAATTTTAGTATTAATAAAATTTATAGGATTATCCTTAAACAATGACATCAGTTGAAATTGATTAGGCAATAGTATTTATTTAAAACAGTTTTACTTTTGCAATGTCAAATTTAGTAGTTATGACTACAGGTAAATATTTATTAAATGAATTGAATTTATAAATGCATTAAGATTAATATTTTGAATATCGTAAATAATTCAATAAATTTGTAAGTGAAAGAGCAAATTATTTAACTAAAGAATATACTTAAATGAATGAATAAGAAAAATAATTAGTATTTTGTGAATGCATAATAATTCATAATTTAATACCAAGTTTATTAAAATTAACAAATAGTTTGGAATAATTAAAATGTAATATACCAAATATAGAATTTTTGATTAGATGTATAATATCTCTATTTTAATATTTCTTTATTATTCATTTTTCTGATTATCCAAAAATAGAAATGAAGAAATAGAATATTAAATATACTTAATATTAATTAATAAAGAATGGATCATAATTGATTTTAAATTAAAATTAATAATTAAATTCAGATGAATTTATTAATGGAATAATATATACATAAGAATAAATGTAATTAATATTATAGAAAGAGAGTTGGTTTTAAAAGAATAAAAAAAAAATGAATATAATTTCGTAAAATCTTGGTTTTGTAGTTTGATAAATAGACTAATTAATTATTTGTAAATGGAATAAAATTGTAAAAATGATTATATTATTATTATTTGATTAATTTCTATCATTCTAATTCTAAAAATTAATGAGTATATCAGATGCTAGACCATTAAAAATAGTTGTAGTAGGAGATTCAAAAGTAGGTAAAACAACTTTAATTCATAATTATCTCGAATAAACTTAAGGAAGATTATCTATATAAAAATAACAATTAGATTATTAAATAATTTAAGTTCAAATTTAGTAAAATGAATATTGTGTAGCAATATGGGATGCTGTTGGATTAGAATTATAAAATTAAATGAATCGCTTTTTAGTTAAAGATGCTCATGTAGTCATGCTATGTATTGATTTAAGTAAATAAATTTTAATTCAATCAATCTATACAATGATGGATACTCTAATAAGTTACTGTCAAGAATAATGTCAATTTGTTTTAGTTGGAACCAAATAAGATTTAAATTCATAGAATACTTAAATATTAAATCAATTTTTCTTAGAATTATAACAAAAATATCAAAACTTAAAACTATTATTAACAGTGTCAATCTATAATGAAGATTCAATAAAATAAGCATTCTAAAAAACCTTTGAATTGGGGGCTAGTCTAGATAAATCTTCAATAACAATTTTATAAGTACATAAATTAATTTTATAAAGAGTTTTATTTTGTAAAGAAATGAAAATAATTCTGTTTTAAAGAAGTATTCAAATAGAGAGAGTAAAGCATAAAAACATGATAATTGTTGTTGATTTATTAGTTAATATTCATTTTCTTTATATTTAATGATTTCAATATACACCGGTATAGTAATAATTTAAATTTAATATGTAAACAGAGAAACCTACACCAAAAACAGATGCAGATTATCAAGCATAAGCTGCTGCATTATCAGACTAATAATTGTAGGAGGAAATCAATAAATTAAATAAGAGACTAACTGAACTAAAAACTCTACAATCAAGAGAAATTAATACTAAAAAACATTATGAAGATCAATTAGATAGTACAAAGAAGAGAGTGTATAAAATCATATATATATATGAAGTGGCAATATGACAACACTTCCCTATTTAGTTGCAAATGTAGTAGAAATATTAGACATTGAAGCAATTGATAAAGATTTATAAGATTAATCTGTAACAGATGATTATGCTACCATTTCTGGAAAAGGTGTTGTAATTAAGACTACAACTAGATAAACAATCTTTTTGCCAGTCACAGGTTTATTAAATGCATCTTAATTGAAACCTGCTGAATTGATTGGAGTTAATAAAGATGGATATATGTTATATGAGAAATTACCAACTGAATATGATGCAAGAGGTATTTTATAAACTTATTATATTAGTTAAAACAATGGAAGTAGATGAAAAACCATAAGAAGATTATACAGATATTGGTGGATTAGATAAATAAATTGAAGAATTAAGAGAAGCTATTGTTTTACCTATTGTACATAAAGAAAAATTTGAAAATATTGGTATTAGGTAATTAATCATATTATAATTATATAGACCACCAAAAGGTGTCTTAATGTTTGGACCACCTGGTACTGGTAAAACTATGATGGCTAGAGCTTGTGCTGCTCAAACTAAAGCTACATTCTTAAAATTAGCTGGTCCTTAATTAGTTTAAATGTTTATTGGTGATGGAGCTAAAATGGTTAGAGATGCATTTCAATTAGCCTAAGAAAAAGCACCTGCTATTATATTTATTGATGAATTAGATGCTATAGGAACTAAAAGATATGATAGTGATAAGAATGGTGATAGAGAAGTATAAAGAACTATGCTTGAATTATTGAATTAATTAGATGGATTTAGTCCTGATGATAGAATTAAAGTATTATTTAATACTTAATCTTTATAGGTTATTGCAGCCACTAATAGACCTGATATATTAGATCCAGCATTATTAAGATCTGGTAGATTGGATAGAAAAATTGAATTCCCATTACCTAATGAAGAAGCTAGAGCATAAATCTTGAAAATTCATTCTAGAAAAATGTCTGTTGCTAAAGAAACAGTTAATTATATAGAAATTGCTAGAAGTACTGATGAATTTAATGGTGCATAGTTGAAAGCTGTCTGGTATTATTATTAATTAATATAATTTAAGTGTAGAAGCAGGTATGATTGCCTTGAATAGAGGTGGAACATTTTTGATTCATGAAGATTATATTGAAGGAATAGCTGTTGTACAAGCAAAAAAGAAGAGTAGCTTAAATTATTATGCTTGAATCAATTATATAATATATATAATATTTTATGCAATAATAATAAAAGTATGAAATCAATTTTTGGATATATAAGAATTTTAATAAAGATAAAAGACAGTATTTGATATTCTAATTATCATAAAATTGATGATAATTTTATTTAATTACATAATGAACATTTAATTAGGCATATAAAAATTAACAATATTATTTCATTAGATTTTGGTGAATAAAATAGTTTAAGTAATTGACTATTTAATATTTAGATTAGATAATATTGAAGAATAAGGTGGATGAATAATAAATTACAATATTTATTTGTATTAATCAAAAATATTTATGTAATAATTATTATTCATTAGAATATTATTTCAAATATTCTACATTCTATTATGTTTGGAGTTTTTTATCCAAATAAATGTGTATTTGGGTCTTTAGAATTCTCCCTTGAATAAGCTTTACCTAATTTTGAATATCCATCTTAAAAATCTCTCTTTATGTATAAGTCCTCATTAAAACAAGGACCATTCTCTTTTTCAAAATATATTGAATATTATGTGTCTTGATTTATTAATTTATGTGTAGATTTATGAGTGTATGAAAATAAAAAAGTTGTTTTTGAACGATCGTCAATTTTTCTGTCTTCATATACCCATTATAATGGACTGTAAGCACCAAAGATATTTCCACTTTATGATTTAAATATCATTAATAAATTGCTTTTATTTTAGACACATTTCCAAAATAAATAATGATTCAAATTTTATTGTTATTCATTTAATATTAAATTAGTGCTTTTAATTGTTTTTCCAGCATCTAAACTAATTTTATTTAATAAAAAATCTTTAAAATAGGATTCAGAAACAATGAATTTATTATTTGGTTCTATAATATTTAAAAATTATTTGATTTATTCCTTAAATTATTAAATCCCTTAAAACACATAAATTCTATTAATCTTAGTAGATGCTAAAAAATTCTATATTTCCTTATTTAAATTACTAGTATCTTATTCAAGATTTATGAATATTTCTTATAATTTTGTTTATACTTAATTGACAACATCATGAGTTATTGTTTATGATGTATTATTAAGACTTTCAATTAATTCTTTAAATTTAGAATACTCTGATACCTATTTATATATATAATAATACTTTTTCTAATTATTTCCTAAAGTTGCTTTTGTTATTTAATATATTACAAACTTCCTCTTTAAGATCATTAATGACTTTATCTAAGGTTATTTGTATATCCTTAAGATTTGCTTCAATTCTTTGAATAAGATCTCTTAATTAACTTTCTGGGCATTTTGCGATTGATTTCATTAGACTTTAATTTTTATCATCCAATTTAAATTACTATAAGAAATATTCTGGTTCTTTGAAGGCCTTTCTGATGGCTAATTTTTTCCATTTGTCATCCTTAAGAATCCCTTCTTAATGAGTTGTTCCCATGCATTCATCACATACTAATTATAGCTTATTTTAATTCCAAATTATAAAAATAATTTGATTATCTGGATGATGCTTACATAATATATTGTTCATTATTATAATTATTAATTTAAATAAAATTTAGTTTATAAATAATAATAATTAAAGCAATATTTTTGTTTAAAATATTTATTTTTAGATAAAAATCAATATCCAACTGCAGCAGCAAGTTTTTAGTTTCTTTCGTGATTTTCATCTTCAACTTAGTCGAATCTTTCAGCAACCATCTCTTCCAATTGAGCAACTAATTAGATTTCGTTTCTTCTTGCTTAAGTGGCATAGTTATATTCATTGGCAAAGGTTGAGCATAAAGTTTAAGCTTAATCCCAAAGTTATTAGTTTCTTTAGAGTTTTCCTGAAGCAGTTTAAGCAATGGCTGATTGAGTTCCAATACATTAAACTAAGTTGGTTAACTTTTCAGAGAGTCTTTCATTTTAGGCTTCAAGTCTGGCAATAGTTTATCCTAATCTTTCCTTTTAGTCATTGAAGGCAGCAACTGAGGAAGCATTTGAAGCTGCATAATCATTATAGGCTTCTTGGATGTTTGATCTCAAAGTGTCCAAAAGTTAAGCAACTCTTTCAAGGGCTGATTCATCAAGTTGTCCTTCTTAAGCAGCTAATTAAGCAAAGGCATAGAATATTGGGGCAAATTTAGCTGTTTCGTTGATGTTAAAGGCAGTTTAGAGCATACTCTTTGAAACTCTGCTGATTTCAGCAAATGATCCTGATCCACTATAGATTGAAGCTAAGATATCTTAAGCTTCATCAATAGCATGAAGAGCATCTTCATAATCTCTTCCTCTTCTCTTGAAGTATCCAGCTTCAGTTTCAGCTGCATTTAAGACTGTGGCCATATGTTCTTAAGCTGATTAGTATTATTATTAGTTGACTTCTTAGATGTTAGTTGTTCTAATTTTAGAAGTACTGCAAACATTCAAGGCAGCAGTGGAATCTCTTAAAACTGTTTGAGCATCTTAAACTTATCTTGATCTAAATTCATGTTCAGAAGCACATTCAGCTTATTATGTGTTATAGATTTCATCATGATTAACCTATTCTGTGTTAACTGCATCTCTGAAATCTCTTAAGACATTCAAAATAGCATCAAGTGGTGACTTGTTTTTCAATTTTGCTTCAACTTCAGCCATAACTGCTGTCAAAGATCTTTTCTTTGAATAGTCAAATGGATTTCTTGGAGCAGCACTGACGCATACTAATACGACTAATAATGTAGCAATCAATTTCATTTTTATTAATGAATATTTCTGAATCGCATTTACAAACTAAATAATATAACTAAAAAACGGATTTTGTACAAAAATATTCGTTTCTTAGTACTCATCAAAATTATTAAATTATTATCTTATATTATCACACATTTAAATTACTCTATTAATAATAATTACATAATAATTGATGTAATCATAAGTAATTCTAAGATGTAGTAGTATAATATATATGAAAGAATTATATATTTATTTATTAGTTGCAAATAAAAAAATAAATAGGATAATCATTTACAACCATTAATTATTGGTTATAATAGAATGTACTAATCATCCTTTATATATATAACTAATATTTTTACAATAATAAAAACTATTTACTTGATAGTATTAATTGAAATAATAATATGAAATATATTTTAGATGTTTTCATAGATATATTCAATTATTTTTGATAGTAAAAAGTTTGATTTCAGATGTTATAAATATTAAAGTGTATTTTTTTAAATATATAAGAAAGATTTAAACAGATAAATTAATTTTAATTATTTAGTCTAAAAAATAAATTTGATTTAAGTACTAAATTAAACATTGATTTAGATAAGATTCTTTAAAACATTAGTTAGAATATAGACAAAAGTAATTTTAGTCTAAACTCATTGAATTTCATATTTTTATCTATTCAAATATCTATTATTATTGAAAATATATTATTAATATTAATAATAGTATAAAATAAGTAAATTCTAATTTATAATCAATTAAGAGTATATGAATTAATAATATAAAATTATTGAAACTCAAAAACTCTTTAATTACTATGTTAATTCTTTCTTTAATACAATAATTATAATATATTATATAATATATAAATATAATTGTTTAAGCAGCAAATTCATTCAGAAATAAAGACTTTGCTATTTGAAGTTACAGGTTTATTTTGTTTGGGATTCAAAATTAAATCCATATCATCTTAACGTATCTCTGAATCTTCTGGATTAAAATATCTCATTGTTGGTTTACGATATTCTTATTTTTGTTAAGGTTAAGCTTTTTTCTATGGTTTTCTACATCTTAATTCACTTAAAAAATCTTAGAATATATTATATTACTATTCATAACTCTTTTCATAAGAGTAATTATTAATTTTGGCAAACTTTTCTAAACAAAATGGTTCATTTAATTTTTCATCTAAGCTTCTTCGATCCAAAAACCTTAAGTATTAAACTCTTATTGGGTTAGTGAATTTTAATCTATAACTAGGATTCATTTTGATAGGAAGTCGATGAGTTGTATGAATATCAATTGATGGAAGCTTGAAATCTGATTAAGAATGCGATTCCTGTAATTACTACATAATTAATTTATAAATATAATCATTTATCTATAAACTATGATTATTATTATTATTATTTTTAACTACTTGTTTATCGAGTTATTTTAGATTTTTAACTAATTTATGATTTTGTATCACTAATAACTTTTTCTGATTTATTTATTTAAGATTCACTTTCTTTATAATTTGATCTTTTTATAATTTTATTAGGGTTTTCTGCATTATATTTTATAATAAATTAATACATTCTGGTTTTTGAAAAGTAGGTACTTTTGTTCCAATAACAGCTTCAGGATAATTTTATAGAAACTTTTCTATTCCTCCACTTAGTAGATAAACATTTTCAAATCCTTTTTCAGCAAAAAGTGTTGCTGAAGGTATACCATTCTTTTCATCAAAGTGATATATGATAATTAATCTTCCTTCTTGATTTTTCTAATAAAAAGAATTATAATAAGAAATTTACAAATCTATATATTTATTGAGTTAATTTATCTTATCTAAGAAATGGAGCAGGGAAATTGATGGCTTCTTTAATGTGATACATTTAAAATTCATCTTGATCTCTAAGATCAATCAGTAGAAATTCAGATTAATCAGTGAGACCAAGTTATTCAGTTGCATATGTAATAGCAGAAACCTATGAGACTTCAGTGAATCTTGTTTTCTAACTATATTGACTTTAAGTATCAAATTATTTCAATTGATCTTATTCTTATTGATCTATTATATTATGTATTGATTCTTATGCAGGTTCTTCCTAGAAATTAAATGATAAATACAATAATCAATTTCAGTAATGTAGAACATTTAATTCTTTTGAAAATTTCAGATCTCTTTTTTGCTATTGTTGCATTGCTTATAACTTCAATATCTCTAATTGTTGGTCCAGTGTTTAGAGTTTGTTTGACATAATCATATTTTTTATTTCTTGGGACCTTCTTATCTAAAGGCTATAAGAATGTAAGAATAATATATGAATACATTTCCTTTGCCTTTGATATATCCAATTGGCAATTTGTCCATTTTAATTTAAATAATTTGTTAAATAATAATATTCAATATTGATAATGATTTTCAATCTGATACAGGGATAGTCTTTAGATTTATTGGAAATTAATTAATTACAATGTAGAAACTATAAGACTTGTCAAATAATCTTTTATTTATGTATCTTTATCAATATTTGGAGCTTTATGTGATAATAAAAATGATACTTATAGACATAAGATAGATTTAATCTGCTTCAATAAATTCCATTCTCAGAAGAGAGAAGAATCTATTATCTTTAAGGATTGGGATTTTGTGAATAAATAATCGAATTTAATCTGTGATCATTTTACTAATAGTTTCATTATATCTTTGATGATCTATAGGTACACCCTAAATGAAGATTAATTTACTTTTTATATTTTATAATAGAAGCCATCAAAAATCTAATATTAGAATGGATCTACAAAACTAATCAATAACATAGCAAAGAATCTTCTTTATCTATTTTCAACCTTTTTTTATATGATAAGATCATCAATAACAATTCCACAATTTTTACCATCCTAATATTTTCTTCTAATATATTTATGTTCAAGTGTTTATTATTAAATTTATCTTTTAATATGATTTTTAACCAAATATTCAGATTCATTTAGATTCTTGTATTACTAAAAATATTCTAAACATTATGTAATGTCTAAGTAATAGTAAATGAAGATGTACTATTCATAATGAAGGTATCTGGTATAGGGATATCTGTTTTTTGTAATATTGAATAAAGAGATGATTTTTTGAATAATACTTCTATTCCTGGAATATGATTATAAGCTTAAAAATTACATAGAAATTAAGAGCCAATTTCAAAATATTTATGAAAATTAAAGTTCTCCATAAAAAAAATAGTAGCATTAAATGGTAGATGATATAATTTATTACTTTCTAATATTACATCAGGTAATAGATCTTTACCAGCAGTATCTAAAGCAATAGTAATTATATTATCATTAGGATAATCAGTGATTATATTAATAGGAAATTAATGATGTGTTATAATATAAAGATTATTCAATTCACAATAATGATAATCTTTAAGTATATTTAGTTATGTTTATTAACGAATAGGTTCATTAGTATTCAAAATGCTTTATTTAATAGGATTAATATCTTTTAAAGCTTATATTGTATAATCATAAATAGTGTCTACATTATCATCTCCTACAGCTACTAAATCTCCTTTTGAATCATCAATAAATTAAATTTCTTTTTCATCTTCTTCTCCAAATTAAAATTCTTCTTCTTCACCCATCTCTATTTATATATCAACTTAAATCTAATTTTTTGTTTCAGATTCATAAATATGATGTTCAAAAATATTATTTATAAGTAATTTAGTTTCTGCTAAGTTAAACTCTTAATCTTATGTCATATAAGCAAAATAAAATATGAGTAATGTCCAATTAAAAATGAGGAGAAGTGTTAATCGTAATCCTAATTTAATTGAAAGCATATTATGAAAATAATGATTTAAAATGAATTTCAATAAAAATAGAAGAGTCACTTTATTTCAGATTTTAGGAAGAGGTAGAGTCAATAAAAAATAATCACCAAAACATAAAAAGTCAAGTACAATTGACCATGTCTAATTACCATAATTATATGATAATTTCCTAACTGAACATACATTACGTCTTGGTTATTAGAAATAATAAAAATCTATCAAAATTAAAGATGATTTTCCAGTCAATACATCTTTAAGTGTATCAACTAGATCACCTGTAAGATTATAAAGTATTTTGTAATCAGGATAAATCAACATTAAAATAGACTAATTGCTTAACAGAAAGAAATATGTGAAGTCAAGTATACATATGAAGTTACACTGATTTATATATATAAATTCAATCAAATCAATCAATCAATCCTTTTATTCCTTTTATCCCTTAGAATATCCTGTAGGATATAATAGTTTCCTTAATTTCTCTTCTTCTTATAATGGATCATTATCTTCATAACCTTTCATATTCAATATACAAATTTACCATATAATCTATAAGCATTAATATCACCTTTAGCATCACCAGTAATAAGTACTGGACTATTTTAAGCAAATCTAACCATAGTTTTAGCTGGCCATATTTATTAATCTTATGGCATAATAGTAAAATATGGATCTAACATATTATTTTTAGTTAAATCCCATAATTCTAATCTACCATCTTTACAAACTGATGCAAATAATACAGAAGTATGAGGAGACCATTCAAAATCTAATACTTCATCTTATAAATTTTATTGCTTTTATACATCAAATTATAAATACTTAGAAATTAGCTTTAGGTAATTCTTCTGTCCAATTCCATAATTTACATGACCAATCAGCACTACAAGTTAAAAAAATATCACCAAAAAAAGGATTACATCTAACCTTATAAACAGGACCAGAATGTCCAAAATAATTATCTAAATATTATTCTGTATATGATTTTGAGCATCTATGAACAGTACCATCTTCAGTAGCAGCTAAATACATAGCAGATTCTCTTTATAAAAAATCAAAAGAAAATCCTGCTGACATTCTAAAATTAACACCTTCTTATAAATTCTCTTTTTATGATGATTAAACAACTCTTTTAAGNAATCTCCTTTTGAATCATCAATAAATTAAATTTCTTTTTCATCTTCTTCTCCAAATTAAAATTCTTCTTCTTCACCCATCTCTATTTATATATCAACTTAAATCTAATTTTTTGTTTCAGATTCATAAATATGATGTTCAAAAATATTATTTATAAGTAATTTAGTTTCTGCTAAGTTAAACTCTTAATCTTATGTCATATAAGCAAAATAAAATATGAGTAATGTCCAATTAAAAATGAGGAGAAGTGTTAATCGTAATCCTAATTTAATTGAAAGCATATTATGAAAATAATGATTTAAAATGAATTTCAATAAAAATAGAAGAGTCACTTTATTTCAGATTTTAGGAAGAGGTAGAGTCAATAAAAAATAATCACCAAAACATAAAAAGTCAAGTACAATTGACCATGTCTAATTACCATAATTATATGATAATTTCCTAACTGAACATACATTACGTCTTGGTTATTAGAAATAATAAAAATCTATCAAAATTAAAGATGATTTTCCAGTCAATACATCTTTAAGTGTATCAACTAGATCACCTGTAAGATTATAAAGTATTTTGTAATCAGGATAAATCAACATTAAAATAGACTAATTGCTTAACAGAAAGAAATATGTGAAGTCAAGTATACATATGAAGTTACACTGATTTATATATATAAATTCAATCAAATCAATCAATCAATCCTTTTATTCCTTTTATCCCTTAGAATATCCTGTAGGATATAATAGTTTCCTTAATTTCTCTTCTTCTTATAATGGATCATTATCTTCATAACCTTTCATATTCAATATACAAATTTACCATATAATCTATAAGCATTAATATCACCTTTAGCATCACCAGTAATAAGTACTGGACTATTTTAAGCAAATCTAACCATAGTTTTAGCTGGCCATATTTATTAATCTTATGGCATAATAGTAAAATATGGATCTAACATATTATTTTTAGTTAAATCCCATAATTCTAATCTACCATCTTTACAAACTGATGCAAATAATACAGAAGTATGAGGAGACCATTCAAAATCTAATACTTCATCTTATAAATTTTATTGCTTTTATACATCAAATTATAAATACTTAGAAATTAGCTTTAGGTAATTCTTCTGTCCAATTCCATAATTTACATGACCAATCAGCACTACAAGTTAAAAAAATATCACCAAAAAAAGGATTACATCTAACCTTATAAACAGGACCAGAATGTCCAAAATAATTATCTAAATATTATTCTGTATATGATTTTGAGCATCTATGAACAGTACCATCTTCAGTAGCAGCTAAATACATAGCAGATTCTCTTTATAAAAAATCAAAAGAAAATCCTGCTGACATTCTAAAATTAACACCTTCTTATAAATTCTCTTTTTATGATGATTAAACAACTCTTTTAAGTTGCATTAAATTAGTATATTCTAATCCTTTTTTCATTGACCATTCAACAATACGACTATCACTACTAATACTAACAAGTGATTCTCCTTTATCTGTTCCTTTAGCTCCTTTTCCTACCCATTATACTTCCCAAACAGAATCACTATGTTTACCTGCCATCTCTTTATTTTCAGTAATAGGTTTATTAGATTTTCTTCTAATATCCCATACAGCTACTATACCATCAACAGTTCCTGCAGCAATTAGATTTGGTTAACTTTCAGAGAATTTACAACAATTAATTTTGGATGGATAAGTAATAATACGTTCAGGGAAAGTTGGATTTTTTAAAGTCCAAAACATTATATGTCCATCAGATGTTTCTCTATTACTATATGAAACAGCTAATAAATCTTTATTAACTGGATTCCAATCAGCACTAGTTACTTTACATTATTCACTTAATTAACATTTGTATGAAAATAATTATGTAATAGGATCTTATTATTTTTTTTCAACAACTTCTTCATCTTCTAATTTATTTTGAAAATTCCTTTTAAATGCTACTCCTCTTTATTTAGGATCTTCATTTAATGTCATCTTCTCAAATTTAACTTCTGGATAATTTCTATATTGAATATATTATTTATGATATAAATTCTAATTAAGAATTCTTTCCACATATTTTAAACTAGTTTATACTTATTAACTTTAATAAATGATTTATTCTTATTCACTAATTTAAGAATTGGTTCTTTAAACATATTATTTCATATATTCTTCTTCTTTTATATCTTATTCATCCTATTTTTATTCATATTATTTTTATTATTATTCAGGTAATGGATTACTAGTTTTACCATGACTTTTTGTCACTTATTATTAAATATTAGCTTATTAAGATCCCATATTAGTAACACCTTTAGTACCAGTATGACTAGAAGAACTATCTTATATTCTTTCATCTCCACCTTATCCAGTTAATCCCCCACTTAAATTATTGATAGGTTATTATTTAGTATTATTAGCAATACCACTTCTAGTTTTACTTTATGATTTTTCAGATGTTTCTTTACCTAAAACAGGTCTTTCAGCATGTATTTTAATTGCTTCTAATTCTGTAGGTAATAAGAAATATGGATTCTTATTCAATTATTTATATTCATTTTCTATACTTTATTTAATCTCTTCTTATAATATTTCAAATTCATTTAATTGATCAGTTATTGAAGCATCATATAAATCCCAAACAGCTGTAAATGCTCCTGTATCATTCTTTTCTATTTTAGTACATTATTAAGGTTTATGTTTCTATATATAATTAAATGTTTAAGCAAATCTCTTTGTAAAATTATCACTTCCAATTTTTTCTACTATAAATTATTCATATTTTTGAGTTCTTTAAATCTATCCAGTTTTTTTACCATGTTCACTATTTACAAATGATGATGGTCTAAATATA